TTTTTTTTAAGAAAATAAGAAAATTTTGTACGATTAACGTGTGTCAATTCTTAGTAGTTCTAAAATGTAACTTAAATTAAGTAATATTACTATCAGATAAAATTATAAGTAACGGATATACACAGACTTTACACTTATAAACGTAATTGGATGGCAATACAAAATTAGACAAATAGACGCAAAAAAAACTATAATTATTCACGTTTAATATTAAAGTGATTCAGAGCAATCGATGTCTATATTTATAACATAACACTAATAATATTTAAAATTGTTAACATTAAGGGGGAAGTARGTTTAATATATGAATATAAATATAGATCTTTTAAAACTAAAAGTTACTTAACTTTTTGATTTTCCATCGGCTTAATATAGCTTAATATTATTATGGGTAGGTAGTAGGTRCCTACTTATTTAAGGTAAGTACACATAGGTACCTAGTACCTACCTGTATGTCAAACTGGGTGTTGGTGCAGATGCGTACGTCTCACTTGCGTACACGATGATTTTCTTCTCAGTTGCGTACACAATTATCGAAGGTCAAACTACGAACGAATTATAGTCGCATTTCCGTACACAGATTAAAATGTTGGCATTCCCTAATCCCTATGTATWCTTTTTCCGCCTAAATATGTTATAAGATATTTATTATCTTATCGAAATATCGAATCAAAGATTAACACCTAACCGTTTTACTTGATACGACTTGATCTACGAGCGTACGATTAATACGTTTATATGTCAGTGTGTGAACAGTTTTAACATACAAACAACAGTGTATAAATACTATAAATATATATAAAATTGGACGAGAGAATCAAACGTATTATTCAAACTGGCTTCACTATAATATTTATTGAAAATGTATTCATCAATTTTATTTTTATTCAAACATTTTAATAATATATTTATGATTAAATTTAAAATTCTGAGAGAAGCTATGAAAGTCGTTGTTTTATTTTCAATCTGTTATAACATTTTGAAACTGACAAATGTGAACACGCATCAATCAAATATTTTAGGGTGATTGTTAGTAGAAAATTTAATCTATTTTGAAAAGCGATAACCTTCATAAAGATAAAAAATACGATGAATTATTACATTAAAACAAAAACCTATACGACAGCACTATCTAGTGTCTAGCGCAGAGACTGTGCGCCGCGGCACCCTGGTACGCCGCGGTATGTTGTCAGGGGAGCCGCGACTGTGCCTCGCTGACGACTCTATTATCTGGTTTAAAAATAAACAACGATATTTTACGATAAAAAAAAGGTCGTACATTTTATTAAGGGCGCCATGAGAAAACTTCAGTTCTAAAAGGGCGCCACGAGTATGAAAAGTTTGGGAACCTCTGGTCTAGCGATTAAAGCAAGCTAGTCACGGATGCGTTGAAAAGTTTATAGCGAAGGCGGTGAATGAAGTTGCACTGTTGCAGTGATGGTTCGGACGGGCTAACCGAATGGCGAATAATATCATTAAAACAACAATCATATATACATAATATCTTACAAATTATCTGTCTTGCACTTTAACATAAGTCTCCCCTTTTTATAGAAGACAAGTGTTATATTTATGAATATCTGGATAATAAGACCTAATCGCAACCTACGATAAATGAATCCTCTATTATGTTCTATATTTTTTATTTTGTTTATTTGTTTTTCTCTTATTTTCATTATATACCATCAT